TCTTTTTTTTCAATTTAGTATGATTGTATCTGATTTTTCTAGCAATAGTACCCCTTTCCTAAACTAGAATTAAAGTAGCTGTTTCTTCTTTCTATTCCCAGATATTAATAGAGATATCTGGATTCATCTCCTCAATTTTATTAAAGATACGTAAGCAAATTGGAGTAGGCATAGAAATTCCATCTAAATTGACTATATCTAAGTATTGCTTATAATCTTTTTTTGTATATATTCATTCAAGGTATTCTGTATGACCATCTTTATGAGCAAAATAACAAGCAAATGCATCTTGAAAACAATTATTAGATGGAATATTTGTAACTGAATTAATTATTTTTGAATTATCAGGATTGATTGTACACTTTGTATTGGCGAGCTTTTTGGGAGTAGGAATATATGATTCACCAGTTGTTCTTCGATAAGTATAAGCTTCAATAGTTAACATTTCAATCCTTACCAAATTCATTTCTAATCCTTCTTGCATAAATGAGTCTATAGCTTATCTATTTCTGATATAGATAAATTTATATGTTTATTGATATTTTCTTCTGTAAGAATAATACATATGAGGCTTCTGTGATAAGCAATTATAGTTAATAGACTTTTAAGTTTGCCCTTCACTTTGCTAACATGCCCAGAATATATACATTAAGCAATTAATGCAGTTTTTATTTGATCTTTTTTACACAATTCAGCTTTAAGGACTCTTGTAATTTGTTCTCTTGTATTTGCTATAAGCTGGGGCATATATGGGCTTCTAAATATTTATTGAGGTTCTCGACATAACAATTGAATCTATATTTTATATTTTTAAGAGATGGAATAATTGCTTGCCATAAACTCATTGTTGTTAAGTTTTAATGGGGCCTTAAAGAATCAGAATTAAATTCACATTCTTCGAATATTAACTCTTTGTTCATTAATTTATAATTTTTTCTTACTGAATTACTACCAAAATTGCCTTCTACAGTTATGATATTTCTTTTTGGATAGTCATAGAGCAAGAATCTAGCTAATTCAGGCTATTTTTCATCAGTACTTGTATTATATCTATCTTCTATATTATCAAACCATTCAGTATCATTTTGGAGTAGATCTGGAGATATATTTTGAATAGATGATGAGAGTGTATCATCTAATTGAATTAAATCATCTACTGGAACATGGTTTTGTATCAGAATTTGATCTGTAGCTGAATTTTGAGGTAATGGTGTTGGAGCTACAATAGAATTTAGAATATTACTAGATTTGTATAGATTTTTTTATTCTAGATGTATATGAAGTTTTGCTAATTTAGGAAAATCTTTTCCACATCTATTACATATATGTACTATTATAATAGTATAAATTTGTATATGGGTGCTGGTACGAAATTTCTTATCTGTTACTTATAAAATATTTTTATTCAATTTGAAAATTAATATATAGTAGGCATATATAAAAAATACAATTAGGCGAATATATATATGATTTTCTTTTATATACTGGAGAGATATGTGGTTGATCATGTATGAATCCTAAAGAGTACTGGCTTCATAAAAATGCAATTAAACACTTTTCTTGTACTGATTGTGGTAAACTTACTCGTTCTGAAAGTAGATGATGTCCAGATCATATTAGAAGCTATTATATTGGTAAACATTATCAAAAGTATTATAAAAGAAAAATAGATACTTAATTTTTGGTATCTTGATTTATATATAGATGAATAGTATATGATATCAGGTATGACGATGCGATCATTTTTTTGTCGTTATCTAATTTAATTATAAAATATAAAAAATAAAGAGTTCTAACTATATAATTTTTGGTACCCAGGTTTTTATATAGGAAGTAAAGAGTTTTTATAGAATATAGGCTTTCTATGATGATTAAAAAGCAAAATGAATACTTTAGTACCCAGGGTACCGAAAAAGTGTTTCAAAACTTCCAATTTCGCCCTACTGAAGACAATTTTGTTTAGTAAAATATTTGTAAAAAAAAAGAAAAAAAGGTTAATCGATTTTGAAAAACTAACTTCGTAATTTAGTGACAATTTAACAAAAGCCTAGTGCAAAATTTTTGAATAAACTAATAGTTCAAAATTTGAGGGTGGTGGTGGCAATTTGGATGTTTTTTTTGATTGTTTGTGGCTCTTCTTATTACTATTTTCAACAACTTTATCTTCCTCTTCATTATCTGATTCTGGGTGGTTCAAAAAATATTATTGAAATATCAAATGCAGGCATACTCTTTGTCTTTATCTTTAGAAAATATCTTAGTATTTTTAGGTGGGGTAAATATGATGAACTCATCTCTATCATAGTTGTATTTGATTTTTTTCATTTTATTTTTTTTTAATTTTAAATTAATAATGATTAATTGATAGCGATCAATAAATAATCACTATACTACTAATACATATGTACGATATCATATATAACCAACACATGATATGAAATTACAAGTTGATCTGCAAAATAGCATACTTTAATTCTAGTTTAGGAAAGGGGTACTATTGCTAGAAAAATCAGATACAATCATACTAAATTGAAAAAAAAGA